TAAACAAGAGACTTTGGTGTTGATGGCAGTAAACTTATTGCCCCCATAAGGCCAGAACCTTCCTATCACACTGAAGTTGGGGGAAAGTCACCCAGCAAAGCCGTGGTGGGAGAACACAATGCGTAGTGAACTAGTGCACCACTCAGATGAATTCTAAACACAACGGGGACATGATGGAGAGGATAGTGTTTTTACTGCCACACCGGTGTTCTATTCTGGGGCTTTGAGATGTTGGGATGCACGTCTTGAACCTCAAACACAAACACCCAGAGACCGTCTCTTCATTCTGTATACGGGATTAGATTTCACTATGACGTACATGCAGACTCACAACACATAGATTCTACAGGTAAAATATCAACTTAAAATAATATTCCTATTGCCTGTGTGTTTAAAAAGTAGTCTGCAAGTTATAAATACGCTCAACTGGCTCTTGTTTTACACCTTTTGTTTAATTATTATACTTAACAGAAAGAGGACTGTGATGTCATTTAAATGGCAAAAGATGCAAAACTGCATGAGCTCACAATAACGGCATCATTTCTGTAATGAACAGTCGTGTTTGCTCTGATGTAGAATTAAAAACTAACTGTTTAGATGGACTAGATTAAAAACACAGGCCTCACGGCAGTAAGTCAATGCAGCAAAAGTCAGTAAAGACATTCAAACCTAATGTTTTTTCAGTATTTTATGCGTGAACCTTTATTTTTTAAGCCAGACTCAACATTTCTTAGCATGGAGGAAACCACATTTCTTGAGTTTTTTTTTTTTTTTGCTAATGCTGTTTGCTGGAGGGGTTGTGTTGCTTTAAAATACCCAAAAGGTGGAGTTCAATTTGCTCTTCTTGTGCGATTTTGTTCTTTGGATGGTTCTCATGCTGGAGGGTTCCTCTTCTTCCAGCTTCTGCAGACTGGGAGTGATCTTGTCAGACAGCATGCATCGATAAACGTCATCTCCTCGACACTTTCTTCACTCATGCAGCCCCATACAATCATACTGCCACCTCCGTGCTTCACAGTCCTGGTCAGGTTCACACCAAACACATTTATCTTGGTCTCATTGGGTCTCAGCGTTCATCAGACTTCTGTTCATGTCCTTCAACGTGTTTTATCTTGTGGTCTTGTTTTGAACAAACAGCAAGGCTTTTTCAAAAATGTGGTTAACGACATCCGTAGAAGCTGACATAATGGAATGATCTTCACACAAATTCATTTCTCCGTTGATAACCTCTGTGCCAAGTCTGAAGCTTTTCACAGCTGGACTGTCAAAGTACTGTGGCACCGTTGTATCAGGACGACCACTGCAGCCCTGATTAGTTTCACTATGACTCGTTCTTTACCTCCTGATTACCGCCGCAACCGTGTTTCGTTGATTTTTAGGTGCTCACCCATCTTCCTGGATCCATTTCCACCTTTGAGGAAGTCTCGTCCAGTTCTTCAGGTAGATGCAGACATGCTGATAGGAGCAGCTCAGAGGTCCAAATCTGAAAACACCGTCGTCGTGCAGCTACACCGATCAGAAATCACTGTTTAGTCTCAGTGATCATCGGTGTGTTCACTTGTTTTTTTTGTTGGGGCCTGAATGTTCAGTAAAGTTCTTGATTCTGATTGTTCATAAGACTAAATACTGCTCTTGTCACCTTAGAAATACTACAGTAATTAGGAGAGGATGCAATTTTCTAATTAAAATTACACTGGAAATGAAATTTTCTCTCCCCAGTTATTGGTCGAATCAATAAGCTGCATTTCCCCCCTAAATGTTTTTAGAAAAATCCACATATGGTACAAATTCTGTCCTGAATCAGGGTGGGTATTTCTGTTTAGTCCCATCAGATGATAAACACAACAACAAACGTACAGAAGAAACATTCAGATGAAACGGCGTTCTTCCCTCGTGTGTCGTAATCTTGAACCACTCTTGAAAGTCTCTGTGCCTTTAAAATAGTCATCTCCTTTCATGTCCGTGTAGGAAATTCACTATTATTATGTAATATCTTGCAGCAACATCCATTCAGTGTTACTATATTGGGCCGTGGCGAGCCAAATATATCCACATACTGTGAGAGCTGCGGTAACAATCTTCAACGTTGGAAATGGGCATCAAAAGTTTAGCAGCGGAACAAATGTCCCGCTTGTCCGAGTGTTTCAAAATCAAAAAAACTACTTTTTGGCATCTGTTTAGCAACAAGTTTGGGCCAAAAAAATTGAAATAAAAGTCCTGAATGTATTAGAGCAAAACTGCATCAGTACAAACATCACTTTTAAGAGCACGTTGCTGCACAATTTTCCTTTTTTAAGATCAAAATCTCAGTTTATTACCAACATGCAATTGAAATATAAGATTACAGCAGCTCTACATTAATGTTGTAGCTCAGCGGTGCAACACATGCATGCTATAAGTTCAGATACAGCGGATGGAAAATCAATATTTAACACAGATGAGCGTACTCCACCACCACTTTATCGTGTCTTAGCGCTTGCTTTGAATGAAGTGCGTTATTCAGACGCGTAACAAGGTGCGTGCAAGTTCATGTTTGGCTAATGCAGTCATAAAATTAGCTGCCGCAGCTGCAGCAGACTTGACAAAGGACTCCCAGCGAGTATACTATCACTCTGAAAACGCTCAATGGGAACGGAGCATCACACACACCCATTCAATGCAGTGTCTCTGTGGTGTGCCAACTCACATGCCTATTACATAACAGGGCTCCTACTCCCAGGCCTGACGCCCCTGACAAATCCATGCACGCTTTGCTGCACATGAGCTATTTATACACTGCACCCAAGACAGGGCTGGTCAAAAATACCACTCCAGTCAATTATTCATTGAGAAACATTCCAAAACAGAGCAGGGGAATGGGTTTGGCTGCACAGGAATAGACGGAGGAGAGGGCTGGAGGAGGGGGGGAGCGAACAATAAATAACATCCATTAGCAATGCAGCAGCTCGTTTGTCCTCAGCGGCGCCGAATCCGAAGGAGATGGGCGGGAAATGCGTAGCCGCGAATTTGCCCTCTCATGTGTTGTGCTCGTATTTATAGGAGTGTGTGCATACACTCCAGCTCCTCTGCAACCATCTTGTTCCTTTACAGGAGGCTAAAAATAGCCGGCTGCACTGTGCTTGGGCCATTTTTAGATCTTGTAATTTAAAGGGAGTAGAAAAAAAAAAAAAGAAGAAAAAAAATGCTGTTTCACATGGATACTATGCGGATGAACCTTCTTGCATGAATGGATGCGTCGTTCCTTCTTTGTTCTAAGATGCTCTGTGCTGCAGCGACAAAATTATACGAGAATAAACAGCTTTGAATTGCTAGAATTTAATTGGTGCCACTCGTATGCATTGCTTTACGTGTGTGTTTTGTTTTATGAAGCTCTACAAGCCAAATTATTATCAAGTTCAGGGTTTCAAAACTGCAAAATTATTCTTTTGCTTCTGACTTAGAATAGCAAACGTTAGCCGTTAGCTCCTCCAATGCACACGACGGTTATTTCCTTCGGTACCGAGAGACGCTCCACAGCTAAAATGTGATTCGACAAATATTTAGCGAGTTTTGGCAAATGATTATTCATTGAAGTCATTTTAAAGCCAAAAAAATCGGTCAGATGTGAATATTTCCGATGACAAATGCTTTAGCTAAAGACAACCGGCGCCTTTTTGGTTCGAGACGACGCTTTCTCAGCTCAAACTAAACTGGATCAGACGTAAAACGTCTTCAAGAAACAAAAAACAAGTCCAGCTGTTGGTGTTTTGACTGTTGGTCAGACTAAAAAAACAAATCCTACCTTGTGCTTCACACGTTTGCTTCTTTCTTGCCGCTGTTGCCAAAGAGCTTCCTTGAAGGGAATCCTGGATTTGTTGGGTTTAATCCTGGATTTGTTGGGTTTAATCCTGGATTCGTTGGGCTTCCCTCTGTAGGGTTTCACCTTATTATGTGAATAATGGATCAATTTTTTTACTATTTTCTAACATTTTATCAACCAAACAAGCAATCCTTGTAACCGAAAGCAACAATTACAGACACTGATATTAAAACAATAGATGATTCAAATGATTCAAGAAGAGAAATTCTTTTTTTTTTGTTTGTTTTTTGTTGATATCATGCTGACCTGAATCATTCATTATATTTCAGTTAAATGCAATAAAACCCACTTGTTAAAATCTGTCCTACTTTTAAAGAAACCGACACTGTGCGACTGCAACGTGCATCACTTTATGTGCAAAGCAGAAAATGCATTTACTCAAAGATTTGTGAATTATTACGATGCTGGTTTTTGTATTCAGCGTTAGAGTGAAGGTGCTCGTCAACCTAACTGGTCTACAAAGGATCTACAAAAAGACACTAAAAGAATTTAGATGTAATGTGACAGAGAGCTTTTTCTAACAGCTGGATGTATTTCATAGACAATAAGGTGCCCTTTAAAGAAAACAATGATGTGGATTATTCCAGAAATGCTGCTGGAAACAGAAATTATCTCACCGAGTCGTATGTAAATGAATTGAAAATGATCTTGTAGGATTATGACACAAATCCAACTAAAACATTATTACAAGCATTTACAGCCACAGTGTAAATGGTTCCTGTTGAAAATACTTCGCTGGAACGACAAAATATTAAGTATTTAAATGTTTTGGACGCGATAACAGAGCTACAGCTTAGGATTGTTCATGACTAATCTAATGACGTGTGGCTGCTGCTCCTAAATATCTGAAATATTACAACCTGTGATGAATGTTTTTGAATCTACATTTAACAGGATCCACTACACAGAGAGATGCTGTAGGAGCTGGTAGAAGTGTTAGAAAGTCAGACAGTGCCACCACTAGGCCAGTTTTAAAAATGTTCACCTGGAAAATAAAATGCACGGAAAGAATTTTAAATGTGGAACGCATGTATGGCTGTTAACAGTGAAATATGAGAATGCCTAAAGTTTAATTTAATCTTCCAAACACTTCGCTTTTATGTCCCAAAAACACAGAAAGAAGTGATGCAGAGAAACAAACTGAAATCCACACACTGCCTTTAATACTGTACATTTAATACAGATTCCACTTTGGAGATTTATTTATTGATTTTTCTTTATAGATGGTCAATGATAAATCCTTTTTCTTGCCTGATGATTTCCATAAGTTAAGAAGCAAATGTAATAGCATATTTTTCATTTTTCTCTCTCTTTTTGTATTTAAATTAGCTTGGCGCAAAAACAAAAAAAAATCAAACAGTTTGTAGGTCCCATATAAATAGGAATGATATAGAAACAACAAAAAAAAAAAAGTGCAATATCTGAGAATTCCCATCCATTTTAAGAAGCAGAAATACGTGGTTCAATTTGAACTCATTTAACCTCCGAGTTGAGAAGCACATTCCTTAAAGTCCAGTAAACACCGTAGAGCGTCCAGTTCAATTAAAACGGTCCAATTAAGTTAAAAGTGGCGCCAGCTCCTTGAGATCGATACGCCGCCTCATACCAAAACGCTAAAATGTCCTTAAGAATGACAGCTTTTCTTCCAATTACCTTAAATTTCAATCAAAACATTGCGTTAGAATTAGCAGGAACTTGAGAGCGTTCCCTTTCCGTTCCCTTTTTTGCAAGTTAAGCAAACCTTGAGAAAAAAAAATAAAAATAAAAAATAAAAAATTGGATTTGACCGTCATCACTTCCTGCATTTTACACACAAGTTCCCGGACGAGAGTATCTACAGCTGTCACCTAATTCTTGGGTTTGGGTTAGACCTCAAAGAAATAATATAAAAAGATTCGACTAGATAGGAATCTTGATGCCTCACCACGTTTCTTACACGTTCGCCTCGTGTGGTTCTGATATGAGTGTGTGTCTGAGTGTTTATCTGACGTGTTCTCTGGCCGATGGGTTCAGGGCTGACGGCGCTCCCTCTTGGTGAGCAGGTAACACTGGATGGTTCTCAGGCGATCCTTGGCGGGGGCGAACTCTGGCTGCAGCTTCAAGGTGGACTCGTACCAGCGCATGGCTTTCTCAAACTCCTCCTGTTGACAAAAAAATAAAAATAATAAAAGACTTCCTTCACTTTCTGAGCAGTCGGCCAGCAGGAGAGAACACACACGGGGGAGTGTTTGGTTGTACCATTGCGATGTAGACGTTGGCGAGGGTAAAGTGGTTCACGACAAAGTGCGGGGCGATCTCCACGGCCATACGGGCCACCGTGAGGGCGTCCTCCCATAACCGAGCGTTCTGGAAGATGTTGGCCAGGCTGATGAGCGGCACATCCTGGTTGGAGATTCAGGAGGAAATAAAAACGACACGGATTAGTTTTTTCTTTTTTTTTAAGTTATTTTTTTGGCCTTTGTGCCTTTACCGGATAGTGTTCGTGAGAGAGAGAGACAGGAAAGTAGGGGAGAAGACATGTGGGAAAGGGTCATGAGCGGGATTCAAACTCATGACCTCCACATTGGGATTGTAGCCCTGCACATGGGATGCCAGCTCAACCAGGTGAGCTACAGTGGCGCCCCACGGATTAGTTTTGAAGTTTGAAACCTAACCAGATGTGTTAACTGCTCTGGTGTGACGTGCCTTCATGTGATGGGGGGCGTAGTTGAGCGCCTGTCGCAGGCAGTCGATGGCTCTCTTGCCTTGACCTTTCACCCTCCAGTACAGAGCAGCCATGCTGGATAACACCCAGGACGTCTGATTCTGCAGGTTTACAGATTAGGGAAGAGAGGAGGAAAAAAAAAAAAGAGGCATAAGTGAAATGTAATGAGCAGAGTGTTACTAGTGTTGTAGTCAGGTGTGAAAACAGCTGCCTCTTATGACACTTTATTCACAAAATGATGTGTTACAGACAACTACTGCAGTAAAACAGCAGAGAAGTGGCTCGTTGTAGCTTCAAGTTGGGGAAAATCCAATGCAAACATATTCTACATCACAATTAGAAGAGCAGACCACGAGATCAGGGTTTGGCCGGCCGATGCTACATCAGCACACATGAAACTGAGCCGTCTGTCGTGTCAAAGAGACGTACAATAGTTTTAATGTGCTGCTGCCTTTACTCCTCGTCCTCACAGGGGGAAACCAGGTGTTTAATGTGATCATTGGGGGAAACTCTTTATTTCATGAAGCTCAGACGAGACAAACTGAACCAACAGAAGTGAACGAGTTAGTGAGTGAAACCGAATGGGCTCCGAATAGCTCCGGAAAGACAGCAGGATTGTTTTCTGACCATTTCAAACATGTGCTGTACATAAACATTATCTTACTGTAGCATGTTAACAGCTTTCAGGATGAAACAACTAAAAAAAAAAATTGACTCCAGGCTGTAAATATTCTCTGATGAAGATATTTGCTGTTATATTCGAGATGATCCAAACATTTCTCTTCAACGGTCTTGAATCACTCACCTTCTCCAGGACTTTAGCAATACGTGTGCCCACCTGCTCGAAGGACTGAGGGGAGAACTTATCTTTGCCGAGGTTCTGCAGGACCTGTGGGTTTTGACAAAAGGAGACACTATTAACTAAAAGGTGTGGCTTCTCTGATAAGCTAATAGCACTATTATGATAGTCAATTAAACGATGATCTCGCTCTGTCCTTGGGCGTGCATTCTCTACATCTGTTCCACGTTCTTCAATCAACCCATGACCATCTAGTCCAGTTGTTTGGGTGTTTTTGTGTTGCCTAGTTTGAGTTCTTACTTCTACAATTCAACAGGCAAGTTGCATAAATTCTGTTCTTTATGGAACTCAAACTCCTTTGAATGAGAGTACTGGAATTTGCACATTAGTTCAGATGTGAATCTGCGTATTTTCTATGTGTGTGTGTGTGTGTTGCAGCCCTGTTACAGGAACCCCACGTTTTCAGGCTCACACCGTTTGCATTTTAAATCCTCGTAACTCGCCGCTCCTACCTCGCGCAGCTGGCTCTCCCCGGTGTAGTGGATGGCGGCGCGGTTGGCCACCCCAGCCAGGTGGTCCAGGGTGTGCATACTGGCAGCTAGGTTGGCGTTGCATAAAGGTTCGGCCGCTGGCTCCTGGAGCGGAGTGGCAAAGTCTATGTGCTCTGTGATGCTGGAGAGAAGCAGTGAAGTGGGATGTAAAAATTACACATAAAAGACTGGAAAAAACTGTCTGCACTGAACTTTGGTTGTTGACATTTTCCAGAACTACAGTAGAAATGATGCAGCGACGTTTTCTTTTTTAATTTGTTGTTTTTTCTTGCAAGCGTCCGAGATGTAGCAACGACACACACAGACCCTCTGTTAAACTCTCTGTAGCTTGGATTTAGGACATATAACACAGCCTTACTCAATGTTCTTGGCAGAAACAGCCAACCACGTGCTCGCTACAGTGGTGAGGTCCACCCTCCGAGTCCGCTGGCACTCCTCCGGCCCGGGCCAACCGAGACTTGTGTAGTCTCTCCAGCGACCTGCCCAAAAAAAACCACAAAGACATTTAATTTAATCAGTTGCTTTTTCTCTGTTCACGCTGTCAGGAAATACACTGCAGGTGTGTGTGGTACCTGAAGGACCGGGCGACGGGATGGTCGGACCGCTGATCTCCAACACAGAGTGGCCTGCAGGCAGCGACTCCCCGTTCTGGCCGTCATCAGAGACGCTTTCTGACCCGTCCACCTTCGCCTTCCTGACCCGCTTCACCTGGAAGGTGATCTGAGGACCGACAACGAAAAGCACTCAGATCAAATACACTGTGAACAGTTTGGTCCCAATCAGCCCCACCCATCCACTGAACCCTCTGAACAGATTTTGGGTGCTTTCTGCTCAATTTTTAATCACTGTGGGCTCATTTTTCTTGGCAATATAAATTCCTACACGTCTACAGAAACAGCACAACCAGGACCACAAAGGCTACACAATTCTTTTATGTAGCATAACAAAGCTTTAATGCTATAAATCATTAAAAAACTGAATATCTTGGATTATTTCTGTTCCAAAAATTGGAAAAATCTGGACAACATTGACAAAGTCCCTCCAGATAATCTAAATACTAGGTGATCAAATTATTTCATTTTTCTGCCGTCATTTTTAATTGGTCTCTCTACTTGTGGACTACAAGTTATGTGTGAACACAGCCTGCAGTTCAGCCAAAAAGTCCCTGAATTTCTGTCACTCAACTGCTGGTAGTTGGTGACGGCTGTTTGGTCATGCCAAGGAGTAGAATTTTTACTTTTTTACAGATTCTGGATTAAAAATCAGTTTATTCTCAGCAAATTTGTAAATGAGACGTGTAGAATGAAGTAATTTTGATAAAATATCACAGCTTTAAGTAGGTAAGAACCACCAAAAAGTTGTAAATAGGATAGTTCTTTCTGTTTTTACAGCTTCTTGCTATGATATATGATGTAATTTTGGCGCCAGAAGGTTCAGAGGGTTAAACTCTGTTATATAAAGGTGGAGCTTCCTCACTCACCCACTCTGCTCCCTCGTCATCCTCACAGTTTCCGAAACACGGCCCGCTGCCGGCTCGGGCCCCCATGACCCGGTCGTTCTTCAGCACCCGGATGCCCCTCAGGTCCCCTCGTTTCCCTCCGACGTCCAGCGCTCCCTCGAACGCTCCCATCAGGTCCTCCTTCAGCTGCCACTCCTCCTCCTTCTCCACTCCTCCTTCTCCGAACGAAGCCGTCATCTTTGGCGTTCCCGAGGCAGACGGAGACGCCTGCTGCTGTCCGGCCGCCTCGCCTGAGCCGTTGCTGTCCAGGATCACCTCTGCGGGGCAACGGGTATGAAAGGAGCGAATTAGAGCGATGCTGAGCTACAGGAGCAAAAACACACCACCTAGCGGCTGCACACTGTCAGAGAAGAAACTGATGCAGTTCATTGTTAGTTATATTTTGTCAGTGAACTTTAGGAAATAAATCTTTACAGGAGACCACTGAGTTAATAAAGTACATTCAACTCCAGACACCTTGATGAAAGTATTGGAATTGAAGTGAACATGAATTCCTGAATGATTTCTTTGGACCTTACAGTCATTGCTACAGTGCTGAGAAAATCACTTCTTGACTGTTTGAGTGCGTCACTAATTCAGATTCTTACTCTCAAAGAGCAAGGTGTCCTCCATGGCGGAAAGCGCTGGAGCGTCCTGCTTCTCCTCGCTGCCCTCCCATTCCTCCAGCTGTATGCCCAGGTCCTCCTCGGCCATGCAGGCGGCACCGTCTGGATCAACACAAAGTTACCTTCACTTACTCCTACAAACCGTCACACACTAGAACCATCAATAGATTGAAAAAAGAGAACAATTACATTATGTAAAAATCGCACTGTTGTGAATAATTAAAACATATATATATATATATTTTATCTTCATTATGACATTTTTGTGAATCGAGAAATATTTTGCACGTTAGTCAACTTATTGAACAAAATTGTGAAAAAGCAAACCGCACTTTCTCCACTTATGTAAGTCATTGTGCTCATCATGTTGCTGCAGATGAGTTAACAGAGAAGTTAGGATTGTAAAGTTAAAGTCGCCGTTATAGAGGCTGAGTTGACAACGAGATGCTCCTCCCGAATGACACGCTGGTGAATCCAAGAGACAAAAACTTGCCATTAAACACTTTGTCGTCTTATTTGCTTTCGACACAATTAATTCTGAACATGTTTATTAACAAATTACAAACAAATATTTACAGATCCAGCGACTACTGCAGCAACCTGCGATCAAAACACTTAACCTTCCAGGTGGAATACCTGACGAGACAATTATTAGCTCTCATTTACTGACCTGAGCACTAATTATTTAATGCACGTTACGCACTAATAATCCCTCTTTGCCTTAAAGTAGTTTCACCGTAAAACCCCGCCTGTCTAGATTATCATGAATGAAACTAAAGCACGACAGATTCTGCATTTTCTCTCTGGAAACGACTCCAGAACAGAAACGGATGCATTTCATATTTCGATGCGCAGCAGCCGTGTTTGTTTTCTGAAACAATCGAATCAGTCCTTCTGGCTTCGACGTCTCTGCACTCTGCTGACTCCATTGACTGTCTCAGTTTACTCTGGCAAAGCTCAGATTTGTTTTCAACTTGAGAAACTTGCGCTATTGTTGCATCTCTCTTTGTTGCACTGGTAGATTGGTACACTGATTATAACAGCTTGACAAGGTAAAGCTGTGGAATTTTTGTGTGATGTCACTTTCTATTTGATGTTAACGCAGGTCCTTCCTTGGTAGCTGTTTATTTATCTGGTGTGCGCTCAAGTGTTTGCATGTAAGAAACAAACCCAACACGAGGAGCCACAGGAAGCAATAAGTAGACAGTGGTGGTATTAATGCAACTTGTTTTCCTGCAGCAACAGCCCAAACAGGATCAAGAATGTGGGCGCAGCTGCAGCCATCACAGAATTAAATATGATAAAAGTTTATTTTTTTTGGTATATTTCAACCTTTACCCAAACTCAAGGTGGGTGGGTGTGTGTGTGTTTTGTAAGTGCTCGTGACCTCATGTACTCGGTGTACTTTATGGGAGCAATATTTAGCTTTAGAGAGTAAAAATATAGTCCCGTCTAAATTTGGCATCAGCTATTTTCTGCAGCTTAAATTATTGAGTGGCAAAATTTCTCCACTTCAAAGCACTTTTCTCTTCACTCCCACTCATATGAATAAAGGAAAGGTGCAGTTTTTCTGTTCGCAGCAGATACAACTCAGGTTTTTTTTGTTGGTTTTTTTTCTTTTACAGCAGCTCTTGCAGCTTCAAGGGACAAGGTGCGGGATTTGTCGGTGTGAGGCCCACGGCGAACTTTCAGTTTAATCCAGCCTAACTGGTAGAGCTGGGAAATACAGAAAAATATATTTGCAAGCTTTGAAGAGTTTGCTTTAAAGGCGACTTAAAAAAAAAAACATTTTCTGTTTTTTCTATTTCTAATAAATGCCATAGCTGTACATGTCCAAATGTATATTCATCATGCCTTGTACATTGTCTTCATTATATCTTTGTTTTTAGTCTTATTGTGCTTCCTATTGAAAGCGGTGCTATTGTGCTTCCTCCATGCCTCACCTGTGTGTAGCTGCTGTAACAGGTAGCTTTCACCACTTAGGGATCAATAAAGTTTATCTTATCTTATCGTATTTGTTGAGTAATACACACATTCTTACATTAAACAATTGTGGAGATGTTTAGTCATGTTTTAAACAAAATTAAGCAAAAATACGCACATTTGAGGCGACAGATTCTACCTAAGCGACTGCTTTACACTGTAGTGTGTTACACTAAAGTCATGAAGGCAAATGAAAATAGGAAACACAACACTTATATTGTGCTTTTTTTTTAACCTTAGGAAGGTTCTACGAAGCGATTTTCGATGTGTATCTCATTCACTCACTAACACTAATGATGGCACAGTTGCCATGCAAGATGCTCGTCTGAAATCAGGAGATTGAGTACATTATTATATATAAACTGCAATACGAAACAAATATGAGCCAAGGTTTAGTTCCTACAGTCTGTCAACCTGTGTGACACACAGCTCAGATTTAGATGAAGCTTCAGGGACTGATGTTTACGACTGTTTTGTCTATTTTTGTGAAGAGATTAACCATTAATGACGCCTACATTTAATAAAACTGTAGACACTTTGGGTACTCCTGCAGCTTTAAACCTGCACAATTTTGCAGTCTCTAGCTCAGCTGAAGCCTACAGCATAATCTGAGTTTGCTTTTGAAAGAAAAAATGTATAAATGCATACACAAATACAGCAAAATGATCCTGTGAGTCTTTGGTTTACTCACCTGGGCAGGGCTGTCGGTGTGACAGATTGTAAAGGAAGGGGTAGAACTGGAGACAACGCAGCAGAGGGAGGCTGGCGCGACATTGTTCGCAGCCGGCAAAGGAGGCGAAGGAAGAGGAGGAGGAAAGGGCCGTCACCAGGATGTGGCGGAACGAGGCCAGAGCACCTGTCACATTGCCCTGGGCCAACTGCACGCTCACCAGGCTGAGCAGGGTGTGAGGCTGGGGGAGGAAGACAAAGCAAAGCCACACAGGGTAGCATTAGCTGATGGGTAGCATATGTGAGCTTTAGCAGACACGTGTACATCCCACACAGATAAACAGACAAAACTGCATTTTTCTAAACATTTCAGCAGCTTGTGGTGAATAAGATAAATCATTTATTATTATATATACGCTCTACCGAGTTATCACACAATTCTACCTGTGGTTCCTGGGTTGGTGCATCATCAGCATTCACTGCATGCACACACCCCTTTTTACCTCGACAACTCCCCGTTTTGTTCGAGGCTTGATTTAACAAGATGTTGGAAATGTTCCTTATCGATTTTAGTCCATGCTGACTCGATAGCATCTTGCAGATCCTGCACATTTTTATTTTTTTTTTTTGGGCACGCACGCTCGTGCTTTAAATTTTCCCAAGGTAGTCCTTGTGGGGAATCTGTAGGCCACGGGAGAAGGCTGAATTCATATGTTCCTGGAAGCACCTACAGATGATGAATGCTTCTGTGACACAGCGCAATATACTGCTGGACTGAGAGAGTGTACAGTATGTGGCCATTAAAAAACTGCATTTAGTCAGCAGAGTTTGTGCATGACGTGGCATTAAAATGTTGCTTAACTGGTACTATCTAAACGAGTGTGGCTTCTAATGACTCTGGACCTTTAATTTAGTCTAATACTGTGTGGCATGATGGGAGAATGTTTGTCATTTAACCTCATGTACAAGTTTATATTTTATGCTAACACACAGAAAAAGCATGAGGAGCGTAAGATGACTCCACTGGCCTTATTAGGGTTTATTTGATCCAGGTACATCACTATTAATATTGGTAACAACTTTTGGGCCTTGGCTGTTCCAAGGAGCTACTTGTTTGTAAGTTTAGAGCACAGGTAACCACAAGTTTTCAACCCTTGAATGCTGAGGCCCTGCAGGTTTTCTATCAATGTGCGTTTACCTCTGAGGCGTTGAGCGCCAGTGCGTGCTCCAGCAGCGTTTGTGCGTTGGTGGTCAAGCCGTAGTGCAGCAGCAGGTTAGCAGCGTTGGTGAGGGGCAAGTGGCGATGGGAAGGCGGAGTCAAGCTCAACGCCTGGCGCAGGAACTGCAGGGCGCGGCTGCCGTTGCCTTTGGCCCTCCAGAATAAAGCTGCCTCGTTGTAGACCTGCCAGCGCGGTATAGAGTCCTGTGTAGGCAAACAAACTACTGTTAGCTCTTAAAACAAATTAAGATAGAAAGAGATGTCATCAAATCTGAGATGCATGAAATCTAATCTATCACTGGCTTAGTAAAGGGTAATTCACTCTCTACAGATTTAGACATTCAAGCGTTTTTCCACCAGGTAATAAGATTTATTAGAAAAGTGAGGATCTCTCTTACTTGTTTCACAGCCTGAGCTATTCTCTGGCCAATTTGCTCCAGAGTCCATCCTCCGCTGCGTAACTGCAGAATCTGTAAACACACACACACACGATTTCATATTCTTCTGCACAAACACAGACATGCAGAGTGAAAGTATGTTTACGGCTGCAAACAGACTGCATGTGTAATAGGTTCACAGTCCTAATTTTACTATGCAAGTATCTCTGTGAGACGCATAAACAAACGGGCAGACAGATACCTCGGAGGCAAACGGATCTGGCAGCTCCTTTTCTTCCAGGGGCCAGTCTAGTGAGGCCGGCAGGAGGGCTGGATACGGTTGGGGGACGGGACTACAGTCTGGTAAAGCTGCTGCCGGAGAAGGAGAGCTGCTGCCGTAGAGGAGAGCTGCCACTGGGCTGAGTAAACACAATTAGAGACATTTCACAAGTCATTTTTATGCTGTAGGTGTTGATGTACAGCTCTGGAAGCGCACGAGTTAGGGATCATTCTGAGGAACGTCAAGCGGGTCATAGCTATGCTGCTACGACATGTACCCACTGACCTGAGGCCCTGTGTTTCAGCTGGAAGGTAGTAAGTCGGCAGCAGGTGAGCAGGGGGGACACTTGGATATTCACGGGCACAGTCGTCCCTCTGAGGCCACAACATCCTCTGAATGTCCTGAAGCAAAAACACAGGGTTCTCCAAAACTACACCACGGTCTAATGTCCTGGTTATCATGAGCAAAACAAACGTTTCAGATGGACTAATTACATCTTCCAGGCATTTGTGATCTTTCAATTACAACATAGCTTTGGAAATAATTATTAGTTTCCTGCATCTTCCTTTGTGGCTCTCGGTGAAGTCATGCTGCATTTTCATCTTAAGGTCGCAACTGTTTTGGTGTTTCTAAGCCGGTTAGCGACGGCTCTCTCGCTGTGTTCTTCTTCATACAGACGGCTGGCTACTTGTCATCTCGTAAATCTCTTCTTTTAGGCGTTGTTGATTGATAATCTGTTGACTTCACATAAAGTTTTCAGCCATCTACAGTTTCCCTACATCATGCTTTATACAAAAATTAAAGCAAGTATTGAATTATGAGAACACTTTATGTCTTTTAGAGGATGCTGTAATTGTTCAACTCCTACGATAAATCAAAACTCTCAACGCTAAAGGCCTGTTGTGACGACTGTTAAATAAAATAACAGATTGTCTAATAATTATTTACAAAGATGTAGTTATAACTACTCAAATGATGTGCTTGTTGTTGATTTTTTTTGGGACTCTGCACACATTTATTTGAAAGATCAGCATTTCTGGTTTTGGTTTCCTGCCTGTGTGTAATCCTGGTGGCCGCCCCAGAGGGCAGCAGCAGGGTCCTGGTCCCCGGACACAGAGGGATGGAGTTGGGGGTTCGCCGCTGTCTGGTTTGAGTTGCGCTCCGACACTAGCGCCACGCTGGATGCCACCGACACCTCCTCTCCAAACTATGAACAGAGTGAGAAGGTCACGGGAAATACAACAAAGTGAAAGTAAATAAAAACCCTTGATTGAACAAACGTGTCCTAATACTTGACTGGTACTGTATTGTCCTACACTGTAACACCCCAAAGACTCACTTGAACGTAGTGGACGTGTTCGAACAGATCGCCCCGGTGGTAGCGCACGGGCAGGTCAAAGGGGCAGTAGAGGCTGCGCTGCTGCTGCTGCTGCTGACCCAGCCGACACATCTGATGGTTCCCTGAAACATATACGACACACGGCACTCAGCTGCTGCTCTACGCTGCAGATTCGACCAATATGCACGGAGATTAAAGCAGGTATAACGTGACAACACATCTTTTCCAACACCTCGCGCTGTAAACTTGCTGACTCATGAGTTCCGTACAGTCACACTTATCTGTGCTCCGCAGCGTTGCTACTTCTGCTTTGTGAGGCCAACACATAAACTCTGTCCTCCTCAGGATTGATACACATCACTTCACTTTCTATTTCATAATAATGAAAAAAAAAAGCTTTTCTCTAGTATCACAACAAGTCGCCAAATTATTTCCTGAGCAGCAAAAGCAATTAACTTCAGTTATGAATTTAATATACTGTATAAACAACCCAGAAAGAAAGACGTAATCAACTGAACTAAGGGATTACACTACTTGCACAATTGTTCCATCATGTTCTGGTCTAGTTACTGTGCATGGCAACCCACCAAGTTGGGCTTCTTTGGCCATCTGGGTTTCGTGGATAATGTTGCGCAGGATTTGCTCTTCCTGCAGCAGCTTGTGTTTGTCCAGTGCCTCCTGCTGGCGAAGGTAGTGGTCGTGCTGCTTCTGGTACTCCTTCAGCTCATTCAGCGTCCGCTGCAGGGATCTATAAATACGGGGAAATGAGGAAGGGAAATAAAGGACAGTTGGCAGACATGCATAGCAGGGTATCTGCAAAAAAAAAAAAAATCCTCTCTGTGCTGTGTCAGCTCTGGCTAGTTTTCTTTTGGGTCTAAGTGGAGTGACTGTGATAAATAAAAAACCTGTACCTCTCAATACGGTTTCATGAAATCCTAAACCAACCGATCATTGTTTAGAACAGTTCCAGGTATTCTAAACTGATTATCAGCTTACAAGCCCATTTGTGCAGAAAAAGAAAGAGAAAACAGAATGGAATAAGCGTATACTGCTGAGCTCAGAGTTATTGTTTGTGTCTCTCAGTTGGCTACAAGACACACTGCTTGGAAATGTCTTGATACGACAGCGACTCTCCTACCTTTATGTAATTTTTTGATTTTGTGTGCAGTATTCGGTAACTCAGTGGAAAAAAAAAACCTGAAAAGTGTGTGTGTGTGTTTCGAGTGCTTGCCTACCTGTGCTGGGCTTCCAGGCGCTGCTCCAGCTTTTGCTGACAGAGCACTGCGTGTTTCCTCCTCAGGGCCTGCTCAAAGCCTGGCTGGGCCTGCAGTGCCTGCTCGTAGCAGAGGACCGAGTGGTTGTATTCCCCAAGCATCTGCTCGGACGGCAACAGAAGAGGAGGAACAAAGACCACGGATACAGCAGAGGTCAAACTCTCATTTGTTTCAAGTAGAAATCAAGCTGTGACAACAACAAAACAATAAACAGACTAAAAATATGTACAAAGTAGTACACATTGGCATAAAGCTCCGGGGACTCCGATAGAAGCGCTAAATAAAAATGAGTTTGGTAAAATGCTGGAGATTTAATTAAGTCCCCTGGCAACTATTATCATTCTTTTACAGGTCTTGGCTGTTAACAGACTTTCCTTAAATATTGACCAGTAAGAAAAGACACTGCTGACGGCCGAATTCTGTCTCTCCCTGAAACTGCACATTTTGAGATAGCACAAAAAAAAAAAAATCGATAAAGGTGCCACAAGGGTAGATACACATCATTTTCTTCCGTCTCAACTGTAGATACAGCAGCAAAAAGTTGTATCCAGTGTTTCCCCCACACAGCCTTGACTTGGGAGGGTTGTCCAGGTATATTTACACCAGTTATTATTTTTATTTTTCACTCGTCCAAGGCAACAACTCCAGTGTTTACTATGGACTGACCACCACATATTGTTTTCCTATTTTTTCACCATTCAAAATGAGCAAAAATGATTTCATAGTAGAGCTGCAGCCCACTGTCACTGTCTGTCTCTTTCACAAACATATTGACAATTAAACGGATCTGCTGTAACAGTCTCTCCTCTTCGTGCACACTCATAATCAAAACATGTGCGGGAGGAAGGATTATTTTTGGCTTTCCCCCGTAGAAAACATGCCTGGCTGAACTCCTGAACAGGCTCAAACTGGACTGTTAGTTTCATAAACACTCCTGCATAAATTGGCTAAAACCTGAAGCTTTCAAGTTGACCCTGATAAACTATATCCTCTTAAAACAATATTGTCAATCTGAGAGAGCCAACGCTTTAATTAATTTATCAGCAAGCATGTAAAGGAGCTTTGTGCCACTCTTTCAGATCTGTGGCTCACTTCATTATCGTTCTGCTACGGGGGAAAAACACGAGGATACAGCGATGGTGGGTCCTCAAAATAGTGAAATGTTTTGCTGGAACATTTGCACGTATGGAGCCAAAAACTCATAAACTTACTGGAAAAAAAAAATCTAGCAGCGCAGCTTAACTGCACGATGCAAATTTCCTACAAAACCTGGAATTGTTAGTGCACTAGGTTGCTAGCCTGTGGCTCCTTGTTGTTTCCTGAAGTCAGGTGGATTTTGAAAACGGGAAGGAGAATGGAGATACGATAACCTGACATCCGGTGGATCAGACTGAGGAAGTAACAACTGTGGTACTGATAAGGTGTTTGCTCTCATAGCTGCCAGTTAGTCTTTACTTTCCAGACTGACTCTTTAGTTATGAGTTGAGGCAGAGAAAAACTATTTCAACATCTCATGAAGCAGGCCTTTATGTTTTCCTTGGACAGCAAACACCTGCGTGACATTTGGATTATTGTTATACTAACATTTGGGCTTGTCTATAGACTCTGATCACCCCAGTTGGCACGCACTTCACAGCGGCTGCCTGGCAGCATTACTTCCTTATATAGGGCATTTGCATCATTTAATAATTAATTAAGAATGCATGTGTGTTGCTTGTGCAAATGCCTACCACACCCTATCAGCGAGTGCCACGGAAAGAAGCAGATTCTTTTTATGGCAGTTGCTGAATTTGTATGCACGAACAAGTAGACAGCAAAAAAGAGAAAATTAAATCATTCATCCAAAGCATGCTGCTCTACCACTGAATAATTTCACTACCAAACTGTTCCATGATCGACCACCAAAGTCTGAAAACTATTCAGCTTACGTACATCTATTTTTAGAGTATACTGTACGGCTAAATTCAGGAAACAATAGGTCGTGATGGAACACTAAACGACTGACTAGATGTAAAGCCTGAGGTTTAAATAGTTTTACCGCAGTGGACCGACTTCTCTTCAACTTACAGCATAAATGTTGCCTAAGGTGTAGTGGCTGGTGAAGAGATCTGAGGTAAGGTCGAGGGCAGCGTGGGCGAGAATCGCAGCATCTGCTGAGAAATGGGCGCGGTGCAGGATGTTGGCCATGTTGACCAGGGCTACATCCTTATGCGGCCTGCAAGAACACACAAACACACCTGTGAGCGGTCTCACGCAGCAAAAACAGGACATTAGTGCAGAAGCCTCCTGACCGGCCTTGACCGTACCTTGGGGAGAAATGTAGGGCGCGCACCACACAGTCCACCGCCCTCTGAGGCTCGTTCTTCATACGCCAGTAAAAGGACGCCATGTTGTACAGCACCCAGGACGATGAGTTCTGGAAGCATAAAGTCATTTTTTTTGTAAATGTCTTCGAAGGACTAACTGCTAACTATTAGGCATCTATGGAACGCAGTTTTGCTGGAATGGAACTGAATCTCAGTCACAGGTTTCTTAGGGCTCACTGGCTGATAGTCTGAATGTGTCTGGGCTTGTACTGACAGCGACTGTTCCTTCCACATTTCAGTGTCATAAACCTGTGCAGTTTTTAAAGATGGCTTTTTAGCTGCACAAATTTCTGATGCGGTCCAAGAGCCAGATAAATACGTGCACACACGCGTATATATACTCATGTATGTACTTAAAAACCCAAAATTCTGTCCGGCATTAGCAAATGTTTTGATTGTTCATTCCATATGAGACATGGCTATTTGTACATTTCAGAGAGCCCTTACCCTCAGTAAGCCTTGATGGATGCGATGGCCCACTTCGTCGACACTGCGACCCAGCTTATGAGACAATGAACTAAAAATGGGATCCTCCTTCGAAAGAATTGGAGAGGTCAAGTTTGCCCTCTCCTGCACACCCTAGAACAGACAAAACATAGGAGTTAACCGCACGGAATTACAGCATGCGAACACAAAAAGCTAAGTACTGTGTCGTGTACGTAAAAAGCAGCACGCCCCTTGGCAAACTGAAATTGTGCAGGATTTCACAAGTACACAAACAGCACATCAACTTCCACAGCACATACTTTCTCTGTCGCTGTATACAAACAAATACGATGCGCCAGTGACCACCCACACTGAACCAACCTCAAAGAAATGTAGTGAAGGTATCTGGGCATCCCAAAAATATCAGCTTTATTCATTGTTTCTTGGCCCCTAAAACAACAATTCCTTTTAATCTTTACCCAAGGGCCCTGTTTCTAAAATTGTTGTTGGACTAGAATTGAACCCTTAAGATAAAAGCTGTTCTCGAGATGCAGAAACACAGATTACAGCCGCTTGCATATCTCCATAGGGACAATTTTTATTGCCAAATATGGCCACTGAATGTATATGTCTAGATATATGTCTAGATATCTAGCTCAAAGGGAAATTCATCTTTAAATATCATATAATACATAAGGTCAATAAACTGCAAAAAAAAAACAACAAGAAAACAACCACATTCTAAGCTATTCAGGATAAATGTATTGACAAGCAGCTGATTACACTCTGGGTCTTTAGACTGCATTTTCCATCAAGCTCTTGGGGTCATTACTGAAGATAATTACAACACTTGCTTTACTTGCTCTCCAGTGAGTAGCTGATGCTTCAGTAGCCATGTAACCAAACTGATCTAGACGCAGCTGCCTTCGTTTTTATTCAGCTAATTAACAGGAAAAATCTGCAAAGGCGCAAAGAAATGATGACATATCCATACCGTGCAACCAGCCTTGAGAATCAACGTATACATGCTTAGAAATGCATTAACTGTGAGCCCATATTCATTTCCCAATGAATCTGTAAACAGAGCTGCTGCAGAAAAGCATGCCAAACTAAACCATATACGTCTAACGGTGTACCTATATCTGATGAATAAAGCTCATGTAAAGAAGAACTGTAGAAGTGTTCGGTAGTTTGTCTAAACACAGAATTAAGGCCAATTCATGATTATTGCATCCACGTACCGATGTGAACATAAGACCCCCCGTGGATGTTTTTTTAAACGCTACAGCAGCTTGTTACAGATCAGGCTGCAACACAGTGCAAATAACCATCCCTAAGATGTGCTGAAATGCCGTGCAAAAGCCTGCAGCTGGAGTTTGTTGCCCTCCCATCCCAAAGATCAGTGGACACGTAGCGCAGGAATTCTGGAGAATTTGGAACTTCCCACTCTGTGTGGGCACCATTGCATAAATCAAAGCACCTCCAAAGCAATTCAATTACAACTCTTTAAAAGACAAATTCTAAAAGTGTGAATAACCACAAATGTCCTTGCACAGCCTCTGCTTAAAACAAGCATTCATTTTGTGCGTTTGCAATCAGAAGCAGAAATGCTTTATGCACACAGTCCACGCAGATCCAGATGGACTCACGCACATTACAGAATTTACATCACGCTCATGGACTCATGCAAAGCACACCTCTACCTCTTAATTACACAGATTTATGCTATCAATTCCAACAAAACTTTCACTAGGTGACAAAAAAAGGAACACTCATGATCCATCTCATTCATTATTAGCCTCTACTCACCCTGAGATGCTGGAAAGCGTGGATACTATAAGGTAGCTCAAACACTTTGGCACAGTCAGGCTTTTCTAGATCTGGAGGCAGAGCAGAGCGGGAATCCACGTAGTCTTCAGGGCTGCAGGGAGGAGAAAAATTGCTTTAACGTGACAATTTCATCATAAATCTGCACACAAACCGTACCTCTGTGATGTAGCTGAGAGACTACAGCATGTATTCTAACAAAAATACACGAGCAAAACATAAAGGCTGGCATGTTTTATTCACAGCCTACCTGATGTCTTTGCTTTCCAAGGAGATATAAGTGCCGTCGTACAGATCCAGGTCTCCCAGGGGAACCTTCGCCATTACGCAGTCTGCATCCTCTTTGTAGTGTCTCTGCTCCAGACCTGTATCTCTGTCCTCATTTTCCTCAATATGAATCTTCTGGGCCACTAGCTGCTTCTGCTCAACAGTTAGCAAAGACAGAAAAAGAGTGAGGACCGCTGAACATAACAATTTGACGCCTGACAGAAAATGCAACAAGGAGTCATAAATACTGCAGACACGGGATGGGTTTTCTTGACACAAAAATAAGACACTGGCACCTCTCGTTTGTCCTGATTCAAACAAAACAAGCTCAATGTACCCACCTCCAGCTTCTTGAGGTAGTTAACACGAGTCTCTTGCCTCATGAAGATTACAACATCGTGTGGATGTTTCAGATTCAAAGGCGAGTCCACCTGAAACGAAAACAGTGCGATAATGACTGACACACTTATCAGTCGCCCTCAATGCAAAACACAGATCCGAGCAGTCGATTAATCAACAGACATGACAGGATCTTACAGCTCTATCTACCCAACTCTTTCTGTCAGATGTGCCAGCTTCTCCAGTCAAACCCTGACACATGTACATTTTCTCTCAAACAGACCAGCAGTCTGTTGGCAGTTGGCACCAACCATGACTGACGTTAAATCTGGCATATTTACAGGCGAATTTTAAGGCAGATGCTCGCATAGACGTGAAATAATTTGGTCATCTTGATCTCGACCTGTCAAACATACAGATAAGGTAACGTTAAGTTAACTACTTTGATTATGCTAGGTGGTTTAGCCAAACAAAATAAAATTTAATGCTGACAGTAGTTTCTCCTTGTGCGCAACGTAACCGAAGCAGGCAAAACGAGCCTTGTCGAGCTCAAATAAATACCCCAACCACGTTAGCAAACAGCGAAACGTAAACGTTGATGCCAAGAAAAAAAACGTTAGCTTCCCAAGCTAGCCACCTAACGTACGCGTTAGCAGGTCAATGAGCTAACTGTCATACTTGTTGTTGGATCTTCCCGTCCTCCGTGACAACCCAGTGGGTCGTAGCTCCGCCGGAGTCCACTATGAGTATGCAGAGAAGGATGAAAAGCTTCCCCTGAAACGCCGCTTTTCGTGAACAGTTGACACGGCAGGGCAAAGACTCAGGACAGATTTTCCTGAGGTCCGCCATTTTTTTCTGTCTCCGTTCGGCTCGGCGGTAGTGACGCACTCCGACCGGAAGGCGGCGCTGTGGCCGCGCAGCGACGCGACAGCCGAACTTCGATGACGTTTGGGAAGGAAAAAAAAAACAGGAAACGTTACAGAAACGAAAAATGGGGGACGCTTTCAAGGCAAAGGTGGGTATTTTACGAGAATTATATTTGCTTTCACAATCTCGGACACAGTCAAAGCTGCTTTTCTTGGTGAGGACGGGTGTGTTTTACCTGCCGCTTTGGTCAGTATCTTTCTTTTTAACAGATTTTCAGAGCAAGTCAGGCTCGATGTTAGTCATGACTGCTCTCATCCAGTGACAACATTACAACACTTGTGAATGCAGAAAGTTAGCTAGCTGCAGTTCACCTGATCTGAAATCACTTTTATGGCTTGTCAGTGTTAGCTGAAGTTACACTTTAATCAGAACCTCTACGAGTCATGTGAATTACGAAAGGTTAGAAGTTTACAAGTTGGTGTGATGCTAGCTTTTAGGTGGAGTTAACAATGCTAATGGCTAATAGACTGAACTGCTTTAGATTAGAATCATTTATGCTGTACTCAGAAGTAGTAAAAGTGAAGTAAATTGTGAAATGAGCAGTATGAATGTGCTAAAATGTGTAGAATATCCATTATGTGAATGATATAATGTTGTTGAATACTAGCTGCAGTGTTTTGATGAAGTCAAGTCACTTATTTCTATAGTAGTTTTTAAAACCAGCAGCAGTTGAGCCGAATTATCAATAAAATAAAGGTTAAAATCCTACAAGGTTTTTTTTTAGTAATTGAATTTTAATATTACAGTTACGAATATGACAGGATAAGCCTTTAATTATTCCACAAGCTGGGAAATTTATCAGTGCTACAGCAGTAAATGGGATAGGGCAGAAATGTGGAAATATCAGTAGAAAAATAAACAAGAAATATACAAAAGTACTGTGATATTGTCCTCCGTATGTAGGAATTTAGATGTTCCACAGATTCTCTACAATTCACATACAATGTAAATGTGTTTGTACGTATATATCATTTCTTTTTTTTTTCTTATTTTTACTATTATTGTTAATATTTTTAATAATAAGGAGGCGTCTTGGCCAGAAATTCCACTTTAGCTGTACTGCCATTGAGGTGGTAGGCGTGGGCTTTGGTGATCTCGCAAAACAAAAGTAAAAATTCAAAAAACCTCAGCATCACGAAACCTGTCCCTGCTGAGACATGAGACAGACACAAATGAATCTAGTCAAACAGCCAGAACCTTTATGACTAAAACTGGGTGTTGTCACCATATAGCTACTTTTAAGTCTCATTTTAAGCAAAAGTACCACACATCCCTAAGTTCCTGGTTAGGAAGATTTACTGTATTTTTTTGTCTTACACCATGTAAAACCTAATGTTTTCAGGTCCTTGGCTGTTGCACAGACATAGAAGGCCTTTTAAAGACATCACCTTGGACTGTAGGAAATTCTGACTGACATTTTTAAGGCTTTTCTGTTTAGAAACACCAAAGGATGAATTAATTATTTGACAAATGAATTGGCCGATTAAGATACAGGTGTAAAACATTTCTACCCGAGTGCTATCATAAACCAGTTATTTACCACTACTTATTACTTTGCTATTTGATTTAGAAAACAAGGGAGGAAGTTGAAAAGAGGTTCAGTTGATGGGAGGAAGTTCAACGTGTTGTTACTGGGATGAGAAGAGATCTATAAAGTCCTTCGTCCTTTTTTAGTGGAGCCTTGTCGTGTCAGTTTCAGAAAGAGATGGTGGATTTTGATCTGTCATTTTTTTCCAGCTGTTTCCTTAAACTTTAGGATGTTCCCCATACCGGCAAGATGAGTCACACTGTACTGCTGATTCACATGAAAGCACTTATAGGTGTCTTGAAAATGTAAGGCCTTACTGTTGAGTTATTAAAAGGAAGTAAGACAGGAAATAACTGCTAAATCTTATTTGAAACCTAGTAAATCAAACGCTTTTTTTGTTGCCTCTACAGATGGCTTGCTTTGAAAGCAATAAGAGCAGTTTGGAGGAGGACAGCTGTGAAGGAGCAGTAGGCGGAGAGCTGTCCGGCTGTGCCCTGGCGATGATTGGTGAATCCCTCCTCAGCCCTTCAGAGAGCCCCGGCACCTTCATCAGCAGCTCCTCCACGAGCCTTCAGGCCGCCGCCCCCCTTCAGGGCTACGACGTGGAGTTTGACCCGCCGCTGGAGAGTAAATACGAGTGCCCTATCTGTCTCATGGCCTTGAGGAACGCCATCCAGACACGCTGTGGCCACCGGTTCTGCAAGAGCTGCATTGAGAAGTCCATTCGGTAAGCTGTCGTGCACGCAGGTTACTAATACATTTGTTGCTGGTGCATTCTTGAAGGAGTGTAGCTTCTCGATTAGCAACATCTGTAAAGTCACTGCGTCATAATAAATCCCCTCTGTGATGCAACATTTCACTGACACTAGTTTCACTGCTCAAATGGAAAGCACCACGTGTCAGCTGACTGTCTCGATGCTCGGCCTAAAATGAGCGCTGTTCTTTCTCTTCCAAAACAGTGACACAGGACAGAGGTGCCCTGTGGACAACGAAATGCTGTCAGAAGATCAACTGTTTCCCGATAACTTTGCCAAAAGGGAGATTCTGTCGCTAACCGTTCGCTGTCCCAACTCTGGCTGCGCCGACAAAATGGAGCTCCGACATTTAGAGGTTAGAATTTTAAGAGTGTGACAGACGGCTCCGGTTTTGAATGCAGCCCCAACAGGAACGTGGAAGCAGAAAACCTGACAGGCCAGTGTTGGAAAAGTATCCTCAGTTTGTGCATTTTAAATTCACATCATTGCAATCCCTTAGATGTGTTAATTACAACCTATAAACCCCTAAACTAACTGTAGTTACTGTGCTGTTCACCACCAACCTCTGACAACACGGAGAAAATTTTCAGCAGCTTAAATGCAGAGAATGAAAAAAATTAACTTCCCCAATTAAAAGACGTCAAAAGAAAACCAGCGACAATTAAGACACTGGCAGCTTACCTCGCCTCCTCAGGCACTTCCTTCTGACTGTTCCAACATTTCCCACACTGTTGGCTCTTAATCAACAGCCAGTGTGAACTTGTCATCGCCTCGATAGCTCCGGTGGACCTGGAGAGGTTGGTGGGTAAGGGTTTTTTGTAGAATCTCACAAAGTCACTGGGATACGTGAAGAAGAAATCAGGCATTGCTGTGGCTATCTTGTTACGTTATGTGTCAAGATCTGCATTGAATGCATTGTTTTAATATGTTGTCTTCCTTCCAGAGTCATTTGGAACAGTGTCAGTTCGCCACGGCGCCTTGCCCACAGTGCCAGCAGTCGGTGAGAAAGAGCCACCTAGAGGAACACACAACTGTGGAGTGCCAAAGAAGACCTGTGTCGTGCCCAGATTGTGTGGCGTGTTTTGTTTATGAGGAGAGAGAGGTACTGTTTTTTTTCCCCCCTCACTTACGTAACTACCTTCTTGCATTTTCCAGAATAGTTCCCAAAGCAAACTTGCGTAACCGTGTTGTGTATATCAGTGCGGATTAGTCTCCTAACAATGTGCACTAAAAACAAAAAAAAAAAGCGGCTTGCAAATGGTGTTCTTTTCTGACTCGGAGAAAAAGTTAAAAGACGTCTATTGTTATCGTTAGAAAAGGGTTCAATTAAGCCAGTCATGCACAAAAGGTTTCTGACAAATTCTCCAGCACTGAGTTAGGCCAAAGTCTGGTCAGATGTGGCTTTAAAGGACGATGATCAAACAGCATAGCCGGGCACACTGACATTCCTTTGACCAGCGACTATAAAAGTCCACCTTAAAATGCAGCTTTATTCAAATGGCACAAAGCCACAGATGACAAGAGAAAGATGAGAACGGGCCACCGGCCTGCTGGATGCTGCGTGTCATTCAGGGCCGTAGACGGGTGTTTGAATGTCCACAGCTCCACCGTTTGTCGTATCAGACACACGATACTCTAGATGTCCAGCGATGCAATCCTGTGCCTTGAAACATCCACTGACTTCTCCAGGCCCTTCAGAAAGACTTGGACAAAAAGCAAAAGCAGCGTAAACATCCTCCCTCGCTCTCTGTGCTGCTCATGTGTGGTTCATTACTGACTTGACCCACTATTATTTTCATACCTGGATGTACAACGATGTCTATGCAGCTTACTCCTCCATGTTAAAGAGAATGTGCAGGATTTAATAAAACGTGACATGCTGCGTTTGAATTCTTGTTCAATATAGTTTTGTTGCTTTTCCAGCTTCATGAGCAGCAGTGTCCCTTTGCCAGCGTGAAGTGCCAGTACTGTGAGATGGACTTCATCAGAGACCAGGTGGGAAATCAAACTGTTTTTTTTATTGCTACGAATTGGTAATCAATTAAGCTAACTTCTGTCCACAAGAACTTCTCTTTTGTTGAAACAATGGGGAACCGTTCCACACTCAGTGGCATTGTTAGTGAAGGCACGCACCATTTCGGCAGACGCAAACACATTGGTGTTTTCATGTTTGTATTTTGTCTGAGTAGGGAGTAACTTCAGGTTTGTCCACAATTATATAGTAATAGTTACTTTTTTATGTGTTTTTTAATTTTATTTTCCTTCCAGATGGAATCTCACTGTGATTCAGATTGCCCTAAAGCTCCCATCGCCTGTAACTTCAGCATCTTTGGATGTAAAGAAAGGGTAAGTGAACAGGCTCAGATTTTCTTTCGCATTGTTAAAAGAACATTTCCTGATAACTCGGTTTGTTAGCCTGTGAGCCGGGTCGACCAGGCGTCGTTAAACAACAGCTTTCCCTTCTGCAGATGCAGCGCCACAACCTGGCTCAGCACATGCAGGAGTTCACGCAGATGCACATGCGCTACATGGCAGAGTTTCTGCGCGGCCTCAGCCTCAACGGCGCCACGCCCAAATCGCTGTTGCCGATCGGGATGTCCGTTTCCTCCGACGATCAGGGAGCGTCGGCAGCGTCGGCGTCGGCGTGCAGTGGACCGAGAGGAGCCGCCAGCTGCAGCAGCAACTGCGCTCCTTGTCAGCCCAGCGAGGAGATGCAGCGGCTCAGAGAGATGGACGGACGGCTGGTGAGGCAGGATCACCAGCTGCGTGAGCTCATCATCTTGAAAGAAACACAAGTAAGTGTGTTAAAGGACTGATATGTAGTATGTTAATATGTATTTGCAGCCACATTTTCCTGCTGTTATAATAATATATAAATGGATTTATCATATCAAAGCAGATCATTTTCTCAAGAAGCAGTGATCACATGTGGACCTAAATTCTCATATTGTTATTTTAGTATTCAGTTTTATTTGTAAAATTTGTTAAAAAACATAAAGGACACGTAACACTTGTAGAAAAACAAACTGTAGCTCAACAGAGCAACAGTTTTCTCCCCTCTGAGGCCTCTTCTACAAAGCAGGTTAAACATACCCAGGATATATTTATCTGGTTTCACTAAACCCAACAACCACAGTCACACGAAGCTGGTTATAAACGTAGTAAGTTCACTCAGGGGTTTCTGAATCTGCTTATGAGTACGTGCTTAGAAAAGGGCCAAACTATGATCCTGAACCAATATGAGGAATTTACAAAATAATACAGACTAAAAGCTGATAAATGTAAGCAGGACGGAAAGCTGGCAAAAAGAAAAAAAATATGACACACTGTGTAAAGTTATCAGGTTTATTTAAATCACCACCTAATTATTAGGACACAAGTAGATCTGACTAGAATTACAGCTATATTCTGTTAAATTAAGGTGTTTAAATGTTTTTTTTGTATATATTCTGGCGGGTAAGAGTCCTTTAAACATCTTCTTTCAGCTGCACCCCTGGTGGACCTGTGAGCAAGTAGAAAATTAACATAAAAACATAATTTAAAGTCGACTAAAAGTGTGTACAACTTTATATATGTCTCACAAGAAGAACAATCCTAAAGCAATATGAGGACTTTAAAACATAATAAAGGCAAAGAACGGCACAACAGCCAAAATACAGACTGTGTGATTGTGTAATTAATAGGTGCATTAATGTCTAGTTGTGCATAAGTTGCTTCGATGTTGGGTTTCAAGGTTGTATAACACAATTACAGCTGTAGTCTCTTTATGCTACTTTTTAAAAAAATGCAAATTATGTAAAGAATGAATAATCAAGTAATAAAAATGAAAGTTATCCCTGGCGATGTGGAGAATGAATTTAGTGTTTAAAGCCTTTTTTCTTGAACCTGCAACCTTGACGCTGGTAAGCGGATGTGCAAGCAAGTACAGAACAAATACAGAAAGATAATTCAGATCAATAAGTGGGCTCATTGCAAATCTTCTACGGTCGCCAAGCAGGCTGTAAGGCTTTAGAGTCCTAATCGGTGTCTGTTTTAGGATTATATCGCTCTACAAAGGCACACAGAAAAATGAGAGAGCTTTGAAATCACTTGCAGCTCTGACCTTCCCCTCTCTACTCTCTGAGCTCCGGTGGATGCTCGAGGAATGTCGGTGCTGTTTTCCGAGAGAATTGATTGATCAGCAGGCGGCGTTTTAATACGTCTCGATCTGTTATCTCGTACATAATCTGCTGCTCGTCGGCCTGAAAGCTGAAGCTGCCTCACTAACATCAGATCCTGCTTCGTTGTGCAGGCCTCCCGTATCCGGATTTTTGTTTTTGTTGGCAGCGTCTTTCCTCCAGCTATTTCACAGTGTGTTCTGTAAGCCAAACTTTTGAAATTGCTGTCGTGTTTGTTCCACAGGCAGGCCAGCTTGCAGAGCTCAGGCGCAGGGTTTCCATGCTGGAGGAAACAGTGAAGGAGCTGGAGGCTCAGCAGTGTCACGGCATCTTCATCTGGCGCCTCAGAGGGTTCTCTGCCCACCTGAGGAACCAAGAAGCGGGCCTTCCGGTGGTCGAGCACAGCCCCGGCTTCTACACGGGCCATCCGGGCTACAAGCTGTGCCTGCGCTTGCACCTGCAGACCCCCAACGCCCCCCGCTGCTCCAACTACATCTCCCTCTTCGTCCACACCATGCAAGGCGCTTTCGACGGGCAGCTGACCTGGCCGTTTCAAGGGACCATCCGGCTCACCATCCTGGACCAGGGCCCCGAGGGTCAGCATCACATGGAGGTGATGGAGACTAAGCCCGACCTGCAGGCGTTCCAGAAACCCACCATCCAGCGCAACCCCAAAGGCTTCGGCTACGTCACCTTCATGCACCTGCATCAGCTGAGTCAGAGGGCTTTCGTTAAGGACGACACGCTGCTTATCCGCTGCGAGGTGACGCCGCGTTTTGACAGCGTGGTTCACCGCGAGGGTCAAACGGTGCAGCGCAGAGGACCCGAGGCGTCCGTTTCAAGAGACTAAAGTCTAAATCATTTCTCCGGAATCCTCATCAGGCGAAAATACATGAAATGTTAAGAGAAAAATGTGTGCTCCCGTTCATTCACGGTGAGACAGCGCCGCTACTTCCACATATCTGGCCTCCTCCAGAGCTGTGCTGTTTCTCCTCTCTTCACTGTCCTCAGTGCCTTAACCGAACGGCAGCGTTTAGGTACGGATTATTCTCTCTTTCCTCTCGAGGTGAATGAACAGAATCGAAAGAACTTCCTCGTTTAGAAAACCCAAAGTGGATTATTTGTGTTGATTAACCTGAACTGCATTGAGAAGGTATTTAAGAAAGACTTCCTTTGTTCTTAAACCTGCTTTTGCTGTAATGATTTTTTTTTAAAGTTTTATTTCCTTGTCAGGGTTTCAGGAATTCACCTTGTATCAGACGAGGAGCGAATTATTGTCCTGAGTGAAATACAAGCAGGTACAAACATTTAAGCAATCAGCGAGGCCCCGTTCATTTTGGAGGAGGAAAACTGACGATAGCAATCATTTAAAGTTTGACAATGGTAGTATTTATTCGTTTTCCAACTGTAAGATCTCAGTTTGTTTTAATAGATATATATATTTACAGCTTTGGAAATAATTATTGTCTGACTGAGCCGTGTTCTCTGCGGTTCCTGGGGTGAGTTAGGCTGCTTTTTATTTTTCTTTTAAGGATGTAATGATTGGTCGCTTCACTGATTCCTGTGCTTGTTCAAAAATCACCGTCTTCTCGTCGTCTTCTATTCGACATTTAGTGATAATTTAGTTTGAATGTGCAGCTCGAAACAACTCAAATTTTAACGGATGAAATATGTACAGTTTTAATATATCACACTGAATTATTATAAATCCTTTTTATGTCTTGAAGCAGCAATTATTCACCCAACAAAAAAATCAACGTTAGAAGCAAGTTGTAAAGACAATCGGTGGTTTAATGATTATTTCCAAAGCTGTACAGCACAACGCTCTCAATGAATGTTGGATTTATGTCGTCGCCGACGCAGTACCAGCGATCACGAAAGCCTCGCATGTTCAAAACGTGTAAATAGTCAGTGTTTAATCAGCTCAGCAGACTTAACATCACTACAAGACTTTGCTCTCTTGTCGTGGTCGTAGGAGACAGCGCTGAATGTTGACGGTACCCCGAGGAGTTTTTGTCCACTGGTGGCGCTATTTAGCAGTGTTGTTGTTTTTTAAAAAAAAATCTCATTATCTAGGAGCAGAGAGACAGAGATTAACAGAAGATGAAAAGTGCAAACGAGCCAAAAAGCCACAGTTGATCCGTTCCATATGGAATCACCAAAAAGGAAACTGCTGGATACCAAAGTGCTTCAAAACACAGAATTATTTTCACAGTCAAAATATGAGATGATGGTAAAAAACAAACATCAGGAGGAGTTTGTAGTTTTTATCCTGTGGAGAGTTTCATTGGGCGAGTGCAATGGCACCAGGAAGCCTCAGGAGCTTCTTGTCTGTGCCAGGTGAGCAACTTTCATGAGAATCAGCTGCAAACTGGAGAATGTGCATCAAAAACGAGATGAACTTCTCTGGTTTCACTGCGTTACACTGGACGTGAAGCAGTCTGTAAATATTACGGCTAAAGCTGTAGAGGGGTAGCTGCTTTGGAAAGAATGCGAGTTTGCACGTTTGTCGGACCTCAAGGATTCACACGGTTTGTTTTGTTGGGAAACACTGACTGCAACAGTTTGCACAAAAACTCCACGGGGTGCCTCTTAGGAAAGGTCATTGTGATGAGTAGCAAAACTCAGCGTGCTGTTCGTATTCAGTGTTTCATACCTCTGACTGTACCGCTCGTACGGCATCACTCTGGCAAATTTAGCCCCCTTAAAAAAAACCACATCCTTGTAGACACGGAGGATGTTCTGCTAACCAGGTTTACAACCGCTGATTTGTTTTTTTTTTTTAATGATCACCGAGTGGCTTTTGTATTTTTTGTGCCTTTCAGACAAGTTCCTGCTAAATGTGACTCATATTTTTAAAACGTGAATCAAGCGTTGCCGCTGAATGTCTAAGCACCATGCTGCCTGTTAAGCCTTCATGTGCGTTTCTTAGTCTTCCTTTGCTTCCTGTTTAACGTCGTCTGATGATGTCACACTGTGTGCACAGTTAATGCTAATGAACGGGTTGTTGTTGTTGTTGTTGTTGTTTGTAGCGTCTGATTTATCACCAATAAAAACAGGCTGGAGTTGAATCCACTCAAACTCAGCCGCCGTAGCGCAACGTTTAGCGTCTTCTGTTTTTATGACAGTAAAAATGAAAAGTGAAACAACCTGCTAAAAACAAATGAATGCAGCTTTATTCATTTAAATTATATCCCAACATATTCTATCGTTAGCTGTCTGTGTGCTTGTTATTCGTCGATGTAAGGGAGTTTCTTGTTGGCTCCGTATCCTGGGTGACCTGCTTTGTCTTCCTCCCCTTCCTGTTTGGCTTCTGTCGGACTCTGAAGTGCGTCCGAGCTGCCGCCCGCCCTGGAGCCCGTCAGAGACACTGAAATTTCACGCCGTGTTAATATTAAATCAGACACACGTGCAGCAGCAGCAGCAGAAGCGTGCAATCTCCATATTTTTGTCTCTGGTCGTGTAATTATCGGTGTTTTTGACTCACTCGGAGCTCGCGGAGCTTCTTTCCCACATTTGAGCGTGCTCTGAGCGAAGCACTCCGCCATCCAGGACAGCACCTCTCCGCAGTACCTCACCTGGACACAGAAATAACCCACAGGTTATGCAAATGGGCTGTCGGATTACTTATTATTATTTTTAGCTTGAACTTGATGAAGTTCACCTGAGCTTCCATGGCCGCCACTCGCTTCTCTTGGTCCTTGAATCCACCAATAATCTTCAGCAGGCTCTGAACCCTTGATCACAAACAGAATAATATATATATATTTTATAATTTGGGGCATAAGAGCTGTAAAACAAGCTACAGGCTGGTTCTGGGCACAGTGTGCACAGTGAGAATGTTGCTAATTGTGATCACAATCTGATTAAATACGCCAAAATCGCAGAATAATCACTTGGAAGAGGTGCTCTTGAGCCTCTCCTCGCTGCTCTCCCAGTGCTGGCGCTCCAGTTTCGCCAGGTAGTTCTCTTTCTGCACCGTCTCCCACGTTATCAGCCTCTGGTCCAGGCCCGCCGGCAGCTCCCTCTCTGGCAACACACACACACACACACACACACTCAATTAACCTAACAGGCAATTTCCATGGAGAGAGGAGGTGAGGGAGCGAGATAAGCTCGCTGTGTGTTTGCCTGTATTCCATTTCATTCTAATTTAGCCAGACGAGCCGCGGGGAACTGTTTCAGTATCTGCTTGAAATGGAACAGAATGGCTTAATAATCCCGAATGAAATAGGAAGCTTCAGACCGAGATGCTCCTGCTTGGACTCGGGCCGTTTGACCAGGCTGAGGAGGACCTGCGACAGGTGGCTGATGATGATGAAGGGCGGAGCCAGCGCCGGGCGGCTGTGGTACTCCACGATCAGGTTGTACCGCTGGAACTTCCAGAAGATGTCCGTGTTGCCCTGCACCACCTGGAAGGTGTAGCTGCAGATAGGAGGGGGAAAGAGAAGGAAATGAAATCAGTTTGTCTCTTTGGTTTTTACAGTGTACAAAGAAAACTCAACTCATTACACTGTAAAAAAAACCATATCCTGTTTAAAAAAAAAAAAAAAAAAGTCTGGTCTAGTCTGATGCTAGAAAATGTTCAAAAATACTGTAATGTTCAAAAGCCACAAAAAAAACAGCAAATATCTGTAAAATGATGATATTTCTGGTTGATTTAAATACAATAAAACAGTGATTTTATGCTCACGTGTTGTGAACAGTTCACAATAACGTTAGACTTTTTTTCCATAGATTTTTTGTAAATAAAAAATATATATTTACCATTTTCATGCCTTGATATGCATTTTTTTTAAATTTCAAATGATGTAAAAAAAAAAATGATATTTTCAATTTGAATACAGTAAAGAAAATATAAAAGAATAATTTGCCATTTGTAATAATACAAACTTTTGATGTGGATGTTATTTACAGCCTGTTTTTTATTTTTTAATATTTAATATGTACATTTCTTTCTGCAATTTTATTGATTATCTGTAACAGTTAAAAAAAACCTTGAACATTATACCACTTTCCAATCCTTAATATACATTTTTATTTTTTTATTTCAAGTAATGAAAAATTTATGTAAGATAATGATATTTTTGCAAATTTAAATGCAGGTTTAAAAAATAGTCTAATTAAAGGGTCAAATGTAAAAAAAACAACAACAAAAAAACCCCAAATAATAATCGTTTGTAAAAAATACAGATTTTTGATGTGAACATCAAGTTTAAATTAAAAAATAACACTTTTTAGAAATCCTTTATAAGCATAATTTAAATTTAACACTGATTAGAAAAATATTTCTTTACTTTAATACAGTAAAAAAAAAAAAGTAGTTTTAAGTTCAAATATAGTAGAAGAATGAATTAGTATTAATAAATACAGATTTGGGATGCGGCCATTGTTTTGTCTTTTTTAGGTTTAACATGTAAATTTATACTTTGTGCTATGATTTTACTTGTTATGTGTAATTCAATAAAATAGGGGAAAAAATGTAACATCATTTTTTTAAAAGTAAAACAACTTGATATACTTAATCTTTATTGAAAAAAAACCCAACCAATTATCTGAAATATAATGAGATACTAACTGATTGAACACAGTTTTGAAAAAATGAATTGTCAAAGAACATATTTGTAAAAACACAGATTTTTGATGTGAACAATATTTACAGTTTAGAGCTTTTTCTTTTTTCTTTTTTTTTTAGCTTTGGCCTGTTTTCTTTTCCAGTTTAACATGTAAATTAATACTTTTTTGTGATTTTTATCGTTATCTGTAATTTAACAGAAGCAGGAAAATCTGTAAAAATACAGAAAATTGTAAAAACAAAACAAACAAAAAACATTTAAAATCTGTGTGAAAAACCAAACAGGTATTTTTTCCAGTGCGGAGCCTGCGGACGGTTTCCTGGATCGTCTGACCTGAACATGGCAATGAGGAGGTTGAGCAGCAGGACGTTGGTGACGAGGAGGAAGATAACCAGCAGCAGGATGACCAGCCAGTTGGCATAGACGTTGGGACACGGCGGCCGCAGGCCCATGATAATCTCCTCTGAGTCATTGGTGCAGTTCATTTCAGGCATGCGAGCAGCTGTGCTCCATTTAGGGAAAGAATAAGATCAGAAGAAGCAACATTCAGGTCAACAGAGAGCCATCCCTGATGACACAAAGCACAGCAGCACAATCACACATGCTTCTCTGTGCAAACCCAGAGCCTCAAACTCACCATCTATCTCTTCCAGGGGGATCTGGCCGAAGATGTGCAGGTAGGGCCGGTACAGAGCTCTGCGGAACACCCAGTCGATCCTCGGGTCGTTGGGGTGGAGCAGCGCCTGGGTGGCGACTCCGTAGGCGATGAGCCAGACGCTCAGGAAGAAGAGGAAGAAGAAGACGTCCTTCATCTGCAAAACAGCAGCAGAGTGAGGCCGTCTTCATCTGAACGTGTGAGAAACCTGATGAGTGTTTAGTTTTCGTCACCATTCTCTCCACGATGATGATCTTGGGGCCGAGCTGCTTGTGGATGGCGAAGATGTGGATCAGACGGAGAGTGAACACCATGAAGTCTATGGCCAGAACCGTCCTGCCCGCCTCGTACGTGTGGTCCACCATCCTGGGGAGTCGAGGACAGCAGCTCGTTTGATCACTACTTCGGTTTACACAGAATAACTGAAGCCAACGACTTCTGCACAACCACGTCTGCTTTTCCTGATTTGTTTTTTTCTCATAAAGTATGGCTGTGATTAAAGATGTCTGTGAAGCTTAGGCTGGACATATCAAACACCTTAGCATGTTTTAAACGACGGCCCTTCTTCACACTTTCGGCACAACATCTCCGGAACCATAAAAGTTAAATCCTGATATTTTCACTGTTACTTCTCATCACACTGTTGATTAAACAGCTGTGATGTTGGACGAGTGGATCAAATCATCTGACTGTGGGTGAGTTGAAATATCAAAAATATTTTCACAATTTTTTTCACGTTTCAACTAATCAGATTCTATTTGACGTCCGTTATTCTGAATTAATGGCACGAAGAGAAAGAACAGAACATTTCAGGCTTTAATCTGTAAAAGCTCCTGAGATATTGTCAACAGCCTCAGATTACAGAGTGTGATTAAACCTGCTGAACGTGGGCCAAATATCTGATAGATCGATGTAAAACTTCACAGATGCTGTTCTAAATGTTTGTCGTTTAAAGAAAATCAGACGTGGTTCGGCAGAAAGAACCCAATGATCTGTTCTTTTTATTGTACCTGCACGAAACTCCGACAACAAACAGCGAGATGGCGACCATGTCACACTTGTTCCAGTTGTCCTCCACGTACAGCTTGAACTTCTTCAAGATGCTCATCTCCTCGTCAGTGAAGAAGCTCTGCGTCACAAGAACATTCGGCGCGTTACTGTAACGCACGCTCGTCTTTGCATTTCTTAACAAGGCAGTTCATTATTTCTTGTGGCTGGCTGAACACTGGAGCTCAGACACATGCGGGGCTGAAAGCACACCGCTGGAGAGGCAATGTTCCAAACCCTCGGCGCTGTGAAATGTCTCTCACAGCTCCAGTGTAAGGTTGAGCTGTCTCCTGTGGATGAACAGGGCACCTGTAAGTGCATCAAGGACTAGTGCTCCGTCCCTCGATGGCACTGTTGGCTTGACAACAAGCTGAGGGCAGCATGCTGCTCGCAGAAAGAGGCAGACTGGTGTGTAAGCCGCCGCCGCTGCCTTTCTACAAATGCCAACCTGACAGGCAAATACTTCAAACTGTAACTAACCAATGAACCGTGCAGCCTCCATTTGGGATCCTCCTGCAGCACACAGCTGTATTAATCAGCCAGTGGGAGAGTTTCAGTGTGTTCAAGAGAGAGAGACACCAGATAACCCAAATCTAATGTTTCTGCTTTTTGTTTTCATCATGTGCTGATGCCATCTGTACCTATTGTGTAACTGCATGAGTGTAGAACTCACTTCAACACTGGTGAATTCACTTTTATCAGGGATGTGGACATCAAACACTTCATTTCCTGATTGTTTTTTATGAACCAATGTGCGCCTTGTTTATGAAAAAATAAATAAAAAATCTGTAATTCTACATTTCTTCCCCCACATGTTTAAAACATACAGATATAGCAATTAAAATGACAACAACTAATACATTAATGTACATATCCAGCATAAAAATTATATAAAAATATTACATTTTGAGTTATTTTAGGTGTAAAAGTTTGAACTCGAAATGATCTAAAATTAACAGTTTATAATTTCATTTATAACTGCTAGTGTTTCTTGAATAAATGTGGTTTTAAATTTTTTTCAAATGTAAATCCATTAATTTTATAGCTTGACATCACTTTTGTTTATTAAAGAGATGTCAAATATATAAGATTTTTATGTGAAGCTACATGTAAACATTTATATTACACTTATATATATAAGTATGAGCTAATAGCAGCAGTAGGTTCCTGCAATTTGAAACCAGATTACTAGTTTTACAGCAGTATTTTGACTTTTTAAAAAATATTTCTTTATTTTTTTTAACAAGATTTGTTTTTTTAATTTAATTTAATTTTTTTTTTTACAAGATTAGTTGTTTTTTTTCATTTATTTATTTATTTTTAACAAACTATAGAACAAAACCAGCTAATAATGGCTCCTTTTTGTAGCATTAAGCCTGATTGTTTGTATTATAACATTATCCAACCACCTTCATCTGCATTTTAATTATTTTTACACCTTATTAAAGATAAAATTGCAAAAAAAACATAAATGTTGTGTAAAATTAAGGCTTTTTTTTTTTAGGAAATGTATTTATTTTTGAATGAGATGGTTGTTTTCCAGTAGATTTTCAGCGATGGGAGCGTAACCCTTTATTAGATAGCCTCCACCTCTACCATGACTGTGTGAGCAGCCTCTCCATCCCATCCACCATCTCATCTATCAGATTTAAAAAGCTGGTAAAGCTGCAGCCTCTACAAGAGCAGGGGCCCCTGTGGCATCGTCTTCCTTCAGGGTGATTCAAGCAGCCCGAGGCGACGCCTTTGAAGGCGCAGGGGCCTCGCTGGGCCTGGTAGCATGCCAGGGCTGCCTGTAGCGGTGTGCTGCTTTTTTTGGAAACCTGTGCTACAGTTTGGCTCAGCTCAGGGACTTTCTGAGATGCACGCTAAAAAAAAAAACAAAAAAAAAAGAAAAGCGAGCGGAGGGGAAACAGCGGTGAGGGCCCGTCTCATCTGGAGGCTTTGGTGCCCAGGGGAGGAAGGCTCAACGGGATCAGCCCGATGAGGGATCACGCTAATCATGGCTGACCTGGCTCTACGGGACGGAGGCAGACGGGGAGGTAAAGGGCTCATGCATCCTCAAAACCCCAGAGAGAAGCAGCTCACGGCAGCAGTTCACATCCTGCTCAGATGTGTCTGAGCTGTCATGTAATAAAGCGGCGCTGCTTCAGAATAAGTGTCACCATGTGTAGGTGCAGAGATGTGGATTCCTAAAGAACGAGTCAAGGAGCTGGCATGAAAACCTCAACTGGAACATTTCTAGCTGCCCGTATAGTTCTATTATTAAACCTATAGTTTATATAAGTACGGTTTATTTTGAAAAAGATAGCATGATAACATCTTTGAGCTTTTAATTTGAAAGCGTGTCAATCAGCCAATCAGCTGTGAGTCACCGGCTGCTGGCAGCGAGCAGAGCAGACTGAGAATTAAACCACCACAGCTCCAAAACTACAAGTCGTAACCAAAAAATTCTTTCACCGTGTGAAGCCCAATCTTGTGATGAACAAGCCGACATACTGTGTATCATACATATCTGGTGGCAGGTTAGACCGACCCACTGTTTCCGATTATCACCAGATGTTTTGGGGCTCAGGTATAATAGGAGAGTTTTGGTCTGTGCTCTGATTTATGAAAAAAATCCTACAGAAAGGAAACTCACATCGCATGAACGAGGACAAAAAAGTTATGAAGTGTTCATGTAGAGGAGAAACGGTGGGAAGGAGACGAGATTAACTTCTTTCTTTCTTTTTTTTTTTTTTCTTTTTAAATGTATTTGGTCAAAATTTAGCTGAAGAAAAATTCTAAATCCTGAAATTTAAACTGCAGCTGCATAAAAAACAGAAAAGATCCTTCCTTACATTCCTTACATACATTTGGGATTTTTAAGGCAATTTTTTCTTTTTTTTGTTGAAAAAAATATAAACAAATTGCTAAAAAAAAATAAAAAGCGTGTTTAGATATCTAATCTATATGGGTTTTTGTCAAAGCTGCAGGACGAGTTGCCAAAGAATCTATAATAAGAATCAGCCCGAGGACAAGCAACAGGT